TTGATGAGGTCCTGCAAAGCCTGGACCAGGAACAAGAGGTAATAGTAATTCTGGGACAGAATACATTTCTTCATTAAACCGTATCTGTTAATTTGTGTATGTCAAAGATACATGTTTTCTCCTCTGAAATATAGTACTCTTTTCTCCTAATTCTGCATCCTATGGACATGACCATTTTAAATTGTGGATTTGATGGTCATGCTCTGTGAATCGGCTGGCTTTATGTCATCTGGATGGCATACACCATTGATCACGGGTTCAGTTACTGGTTGATCTTATCGATTATTAACTGGAAAGGGAAACCAGCGCCATGTTTTGTATGGGATGATGACAAAGCTGAACAACCTATTGTCATAAAATGTTGTCTCTGTGCTTAATCATTGTGTTATGTTAGCAAATGCTATTGTAGCAATTGACCTATTTACAGAAGCCATTTGTGAAGCTGCAGAATGTATGAAACTTACAACTTAGTAAGATTAAATCTCAACCATGGTATGATGCAGAATGTAAGTATTATTGTTCTGAGCGAGAGAGGCTATTAAATATTCATAGGAGGTGTAGACTTGAGAATCGTAGAGATTGTCTTAACAGCTTGAAACATATATACTTTCGTAATGAGAGAGACCAAATGCTCGTACCAGGAAAAGATTGTTAGGAGGCTGAAACAAACCTGGTATAATAGCAAGGCATTTTGGAAGGTTTTTAAAATATTCGGTGGTTCGTCTATAGTTCCTATATATCATTGCAGGAATGAAATTAATATTTTCATGGCATGTATATTGAAGCTGGTCATCCAGGAAAGGGTAATAATATTTGTTGTGTCAGTTCTCAGTTTTCTGATAATAACATTACAGCTATTCTTGACTCACCAAAAACAGCCGATGAAGTGATAGTGAGCGAGTGAGTTGGGTTTAACGCCGCTTTTAACAGTATTCCAGTTATATCGCGGCGTGTCAGCTAAATGTAGAGGAAAGCCAGAAGTGATGCAGGTCTCAGATGTTTACAACTTCGGTGAAACCCATGAGCACAGTTGTGGTGCTGTGGTTTCCGGCGTGCCCAAGGGACGCAACTCTGCACAGCGAATCGCGACGCCTTAGACGACTGGGCCAACTGTTTCACCAGTTATTTTCTGACGATACTTTTTTCTTATACTAATGTGAGCTTCAGAAGTGTGGAATACAATTTTTCTGTAAATTTGGACAAATCAAAAGTTGTATTTTTTAGAAATGGTGGAATGCTTTGAAAACGTGCAAAATGGTATCTCGGGGGTAATTTCAATTCTCATATAAAGATTTTGGAATTATTCTCACAATGTTTGTCCTGGCATAAACACGTTCACAACGCTATTGTACAATCAAAAAAGACCCCATTAGCTATCTTAAATATCTGTCAAAACTACAACCTATTCCGTGCAATATTTTTTCAGAATCTTTGATTCTAAAGTTATGCTAGTCCTGTTTAAATAGCCGAGGTGTGGGGTCTTGATTGTGATATCGGTTCTCCTATTCACAAAGTTCACACTTTAGCGTCTAAATATTTACTCGGCGTTGATGAATAAACCTAGAAGGCTCAGACTATGTGAAATGTGTTTCTTTAGATACAAAGTAAACGGATACCATTTCCTATTGATATGTACTGCTTATGATAACCTACGTAAAATTTATATTCCTGATAAATATTGTACATGTACATACATAAAATATTAATGTCTATCACCAATGTCATCTTCACTCTTGCAGACAAAGAGCTGTATTTTCTGTAACAAAGTAATATGGGCCGATGGCCTACATACAGCTGAATAAATGAGAGAATGAAAAGAGAGGAGTGGGATTCGATTACTTGTCATAAAAAATATACTGCTACTCTGCATGTACTGAAACAGGCGTTACACGAAATCAGTAATTTTTCATATTTTTCAGTCTGCAGTGACTTCGGAGATACAGGGCAAATGTACGTTTCTAAGGATATTTCAAATCAGACAGAAATTTTACAAGCGTAACGTATTAGTTTCCTTATGATAAAGCGTGTGTATATTCTTGATTGGTGTGTAATTGAACAAAATCTTTACTGTTGTAAATCCGCCTTTCTATTTAACGGTATTGGTATTATTAAAACATAAATGAAGACTATATATGAATTATTAGAGCAAGTGCGGAGCAACATAAATAAAATTCATTTTCTTTACGTCATCTAATGTGATCCTTACAGATTCTTTTTTTTATCAAAAATGATGTGATAATGATTAAAAATTCTCGACAGCTCGACCTCTTCTAGGAGACGATATGGCCAGCAAGATAGAGAATCAACTTGGGATGGATAAAGGATCACTTAATAAGATCATACAAGCTCTCCTAAAGGTACCGTTCATGTCAGTGAGATACGTTCCTGATCGAACACACTTCCGATAAAATACTAAATTAATAGTGCAACTAAGTATCATTTTTTTTTATAAATGCATACCAGGAGTGTAATGTAACAATTTTTTTATTAACTTATTTATTTTTTTATATATTTTTTTATTTTATTTTTTTTATTTTTTATTTTTTTTTATTATTATTGAGGGGGGGGGGGGGGGGGGGGGGGGGGGGGGCGAAAAGTTATAGATACATACTGCATTTTAGAAAGTGGTCAAATGTAACAAATCTTATTTGGGGGATTACACTTTCTTAGTAAAGTACACATTCTGTGTTTTGCTGGTCGATTCCCAAATAGCAAGAGAACTTGTACTCTATGGAGAGAGTGTAGTCCAAAATATAAGATTTGTTACATTTTGCCACTTTCTAAAAGGCATTATGTATCTAGGAGTGTATTAGTTTTAATACGAGAACAGTTTGTTTGATGATCAGTCACAACTAGGACGTGACGTGAAGGCCAAGGTAAATGTTCACATGTATTCACAGATGTACCAAAACATTAGTCACAATAACCACTATTCCACAACTACCTTTATTTTCAGACATATGTGGAAAAGACAAACAAACAATGCACACAAGATGATAAAGGCATTTCAATGTGTAGTGATGTAAAGAGACAAGAGGACAAAGGCAACTCTAGTGGAAGTGACGCCAAGAACCAAGGTGACAACATCCCTGGTGTCACAACCAGACATCATGGTGGAGATGAACCTGTCGTTTCTCATGATCACACACCCAACACCTTAAGGAGAGATGTGCCATCACTGGGAGCAGAGATGCAGGTTAGTGTGTGATTGGTGTTCGAAGAAACGTTACACACACACACACACACACACACACACACACACACACACACACATATATATATATATATATATATATATATATGGTGACAATCGGGTCACACAAAGTTTGATCATGTTTTTAGCTCCTATGTAAAGCATGTCTTCCCCATGGATAACATATGGGGTATAGTATTCTTCCAGCCATTCGTCAAACAGGCGTTATTCAATCATATTCACTCCTTATAAAATGACAGAATATTATCAAGCATGCTTCCTAGTCTGGAGTTATCTTAGCATATACTCCTTACTATTATTATAATCTTGCATGTGTGCAGATCCTGTTTCCCTTTTCTAGGAGTCAGGAAGTAACTCTTGCTGTCCTCCACATTCTGGACCTAGATGCGACCAAAATCTCGGTAACATGAACAAGAACTTTGAAACCCTAATAATCCTGGGTCTCAGTAATCAAATTTCCAGATCACATTGTATAAATGTAAATATTCTCAATAGTAATAACCCCGAAGGTACAGTTCCAGAGTACAGATGCGTCACTGAATCAAACATCTCTCTGGGATATTTCAGACAAACTACGGACTATACTGGAAGAAATGAAGATAAAGACAACTTATTTACAAAAAGTGGTGGAGAAAAAGTGTAAGTTGCCACCAGGGAGACTACCGGACATACTTGATGAGGTGCTGAAATGTCAACAGAACCAGGCACCAAAGGTAACACCCGTGACAAAGGATTCGGTACCACTTTTCATAAACTACATATTTTAGAATGTGCATGTCAAACCTAAATATTTCTTCCTCTGAAATATTGCAGATTTAACACTTGCTTCTTAATCAATCTTCTGCCAAATAAGCTGTTTGTTTAGTTAGTTAGTGAGTTTGGTTTTACGACGGTTTTAGCAATAGTCCAGCAATATCACACAAGCCATGAGCTTCACACATAGTACTAATCTGGGGAATCGAATCCGCGTCTCCGGTGTGACGAGCGAACGCTTTAACCACTAGGCACCGTCCTGTTTGTTCAGTCAAGATTAGGAGAATGCAATCTATGTATATCCATGGATATAAAACAATAATGAATTATGACAAATGATCCATGTCGTAACCAATCATGACATTGAATCAAAACAATCCATAATATGCAATATTAAAATATCTGTTCAAATGAGCTTTGTGTCTGGTTAGTGTTTTATGTATTTTAACATTGCATATACAGTTGTCAGTTGACCTTTGGGAATGGAAAGCATGGTTGTGTGTTGGCGCGCAGAATGCCTTTCAGTGTCTTGTTAAACAAAATATGCTGCTACTCTGTGTTTATTTGAATAAACGTTTTACCAACTCCAAAGATAACTTTTATATATTTTTCAGGCTGCAGGAATGTCAGAGAAACCGGGAAGATGTAAGTTTTATACGGAAGTTTTCTAATTAGAGAAGTAACCACAGAAATAATGTCAGGAGAAACGAAGTGAACGTATTCGACCCGATGTTCTCGTATCTACATGATGAGTGTTATGGAAACATTCAATGAATCTTTAAGCTGCATCGTAAGTTAGAAAATCTTACTCTTGAAAATCTGTGTGAAAAAAAAACATGTCACATACGTTTCAAGAAAGATGTACTGACGCGTTTAATGATGTTCAAATAACGATTATGAGATACTGTAAGCAACCACAATAGCATTTGATTCTTTTACAGCGTCATAATGTGTAAGATTTAATACTTACGCCCCAGTCGTCAGTTTGTCTTATGTGCAAAAAGGATGTGATAATGAGTGAAATTCTTGGCAGCTCCACCTCTACTCGGAGACGATATGGCCAGCAGGATAGAGAACCAACTGGTGTTGAATACAGGATCACTTCATGAGATCATAGACGCCGTGCTGAAGGTACACAGTCCTTTATATGTAATTATGTCGACTTTGCCCACTTGGGGCCGCTTTCCTACAGACGCCATCCTGTGCGGCAATAGTCTACAAACACGTACTATTTCTTGAACCACTGGTTTGTCTTTCACGCCCAGTGGAGTCTGTGTCGGCAGATAATCGGGACTGATATTTCCGTGGGATTGATTGATACATCAATGTAATGCTATGTCCCCAAAAATTCACATTAAACTTATATTTACCTTTCTTGTTTCAGAGAAACAGAATACATAGAAATGAGCTCCTTGTTTTTCATAGACTATTTTGTGACATGGGTGAACGGCTGCAACCACGTGTGAACTGTTTTGTTAATCCTTTCAGTTCGGCCAAAAGAAGAAGAAGTGGTGGGAGTGGCCGTTCTGGAAAGGAGACGACGCCTCCACATGACCAGACTGTGGGAGCTGATAGTGTGGGTGTTGCTTATTGCAATATTCCTAGTAAAACTGAGTCTGGGATCTGTTTGTGTTGCACTTCGTGTTCAAACAGATATTAGATAAAAAGTTGAATTTGATTAAATGTGAGTTTCTTATATATTGCTAATACTAATATTTCTGTTATATGTGCGAGGTTCGGTAAAGACAAGAGAAATGTGTAGGATGATAAACATGCAGCGTTTAGAGGAAATGTATGCTGTATATTACTGTTGTTGGCATGTTTCATTGTATATATACATATATAATTAAATAATAAAGTCCACGTTAGTCCATCATCTTCTTTATATCAGTTTCATACATAGTACTTTCTTATATATATAAAACGCATAGGTCTTTCTGAATTTAAAAAAATTCCTCAGATCAAAGAATATGTCAACTGAATCGATAAAATATGTTATAAATCTGTGTATAGGAGATTTCTATGCAAATCTGTATTTTAAAAAAACACCAAAACGCAAAACGTTGTGTTTCATAAGACGTTTTACAAATTTCTGAAAACACATCAACCAAACGAAACCAAACTCATTTTGCAAGTGCAAATAGGGCCATGAGTTGCATGCTGTATCTGTCTATAAAATGGCATGTCGCATTCGAAATGTGAAATCAGTTTTGAAGAGTTTCACAACGGAATCATTATGCCACGTATAGACGCTGCGGCAATATCGCCATTGGAAGACTAGGGGCTGGTGAGTCGCAATCTTCAGTTGCAAGACGTCTCAATGTAAGCCAGAGTACGATTACTCGACTCACAACACGCTACAACCTCACAGGTACCACAAACGACCGTCCACGCACCGGAAGACCTCGAGTCACCACAGCAGCTCAGGATCGCTACATCCGGGTCCTCCATTTACGTGATCGTACTGTTACAGCTGAGAGCATAGCGGCCAGGGTGCATGGACTTCGAAGGACATCGCTGCAAACAGTACGGAACAGACTGAGAGAGGTTTGACTGAGAGCCCGGAGACCCTACTTCGGGAACGTGTTACGACGTCAGCATCGCGTCAAAGGTCTCCGCTGGTGCAATAACATGTCGGCCTGGAACTTACGAAACTGGAGGCGCATATGGTTTAGCGATGAATCTAGGTTTCTTCTACAGAGACGGGATGGACGAAACAGAGTTTTCAGACGGGTCCTTGAACGTTATGCTCCTATCTGTGTACGTCAAGTGGACAGATTCGGTGGAGGAAGTGTCATGATGTGGGCGGCGATATCCTACACCAACCGTACTAATCTTATCCATGTCCAAGGAAACCTGACGGCTGTGCGCTACAGGGACAATATTCTTCAGCAACACCTTCTCCCAGTCATTGACGTCCGACGGGAGTTATTTCAGCAAGACAACGCCAGGCCACATACAGCACGTGTCACCATGGAGTATCTGGCAAATAACAACATGCCTGTGCTTCCCTGGCCATCTCGTTCCCCGGATCTCAACCCCATAGAACATCTTTGGGATGAACTTGATCGGCGTCTACGTCAGCGTATACGTCAACCTCAAACTTTTCAGGAGTTAGCTAAATGTCTTCAGCAGGAGTGGAGGAGAATTCCTCAACCAGTTATATAGCGTCTGATCCAGTCCATGACGAGGCGGGTCCGAACTGTTATTCGTGCACGTGGTGGACATAACAGATACTAGCACTTCTGTGGACGCTTAACAAAATCATGACTGGTTAGCCTGTGGTGATCATTACATCGTATACACACGAGGTTCTGCCATGTGCACGTCAAATTTCATGCTCCTAAGTATGTTTGTTGAATAGTTATACACGTTTGAATTAAACCTTTGTCTCTTCAGATTTCTGCCTTATGCGTTTCTGTTTTGGAATAGTATAAATACTCGTCAGTCTTGATGTACCATTTGATCAGTTTTTCATATCAAATAAAATTAAATCTCTCACATCACCACAAATCAAACCATCGACCACGGTTGTAGAAATTACCGCCAAAGCATAAATACCTGCTAAACCCACAAATCCAAGAACAACGGATCCTGGTACTTCCAACTTTTATTTTACTTTTATTACACGGCAAACAATTGATTTCAGTGAATTTAAAAATCAGAAAAAATATAGATACATCTCACAGTCTACCATTAAGTTGTGTTGTTTTTTCTCAGGAACTCTCCAGTGTTTTTCTTGATTCCAAAATTTCGCTGTGTTGTGATTTTGTGATGCACTGTTGTTTGTATTGATGATACGAACCTGTAAACGTATTGAGCATTAGTGTCGGTCCTTAATATAAGTCTCACGACAACGTTAGTTGTCTATACATGTCTATAATGTATGATGCATCACAAACAGTTGTGCTGTCAGTATGGTTTGCCAGCGTTGTCGAGGTCATAACACAACGCTGTCACTGAAACGGTGATCTTGCGAATTGAAATAATTCAGTTTCGTGACGAAACGGTAGAAAATGTTCTCAGTGTGCTTGAATACTCTCTCAAATGTAGCGTTCTGAATGAATAACAAAAATGTTTGATACCAATCCTCCTACAATTGTGTTCTGAGTTAGTAAGTAAGTTTGGTTTAATGCTGCTTTTAACAGTCTTACAGTTATATGGCGGCGTGTCAGCTTAATGTGGGAGGAGAGCCAGAAGTGATGCAGGTCTTAGATGTTAACCACTTCATTGATACCTACGAGCACGGATATGGTGCTGACAAACCTAGAAACATAATCTGGTTGAACAGTGATTCGAACCAACAATCATAGGTTTCTGGCGTGCCCAAGGGACGTAACTCTGCACAGCGAATCATGGCGCCTTAGACGATTGGGCCACCCGTGCCCCCAATTGTGTTCCGAAGTAAACATAAAATATATTCAATACACAAATGCATCTCCCAAACAGCCTTCTGAATTAACTATGGACTATATTAGCTAAAACGCTGGAGAGTTCTGAGCTAACTATGTAATAAATCCATCATAAACTCTCCCCCATGTTGAGTTCTAGGGAATGATTATGAAACGTATCCACACACATCTGATCTTCTAAATGTGCTACGTTATATTGTAACATGAGTGTTTGTGCTGCAATCAAAATCTTTGGCGTGCAATAAAAAGATAGGGGTACATTTTGCTATTTGCAAGTTAAACCTCGGGCTTACAATATGTTATGAATCCTTCATCCATTCCTTAGTAGGTCATGCGGATGATAAGAAATGAACAGGTTCTCCAGAACTGATTTCGTACTTAAATGAAATTGTAAAGGAAAAGTAAGCATCAATTATGATTGTGTTTTAAAAACTATCTGGGATAGGAATTGAGAGGTTACATCCATGTGCTAATTGTGGGCTACTAGATTCTAATGGAAGATTTAAGCACAGAGGGCTTTATTTTTTATTCCTAATACAGGATATTTACCATCACCAAACACACAAGCGTGATAACCTCTTTATCATATAATGTCATTCTTTAATTCTGTGCTTCAAAATCGCTTTCCCTCTCTCACAAACATTACCGAAACATTGCGAGTTTTCCTGGAATGCGTGCATTAATATTTATTACGTCACAGGGTAAGTGATGTGTCAGTCGGACAGTGACAGTAGCCAATATAGTTCCAACTGAAATTTGTTTCTTATACAGTGGCGAAGCAACATAAACGCCAAAAAAAATTTTTTTAATTGCCTTTCGGGGCAATCCATCGGTCTGTCCACAAGAGCAAATGCCCTTTATCAAAGGGAAACTACTCTAACCCTAGTCTCTGAGACGTCACGGACACGGTCAGACGTTGTTGACAGTCGATCTGTCCTGTAATAACGTTAAGAAGTGAAGTCAGATGTACACACAGCGACAAAACGAAACAAGGTAACAATTCAATTATATTTCGGCCAAATCCAACTATTTTAATTTGTGGAGAAGGTTTCAAGCCGAAGAGGTCTACAAGCAGAAATATGACTACCGATCCCTCTTGGCTAGACCTCGTGCCCTCGCAAAATTGTTTCGAAATTTATATCTCCAAAGTTGCCAAAACTTATAAAATGCCTTAGCTACGTCACAGTTAGACACTGCTTTTCAGTATATTAGACTGTTCTTTTGATAATGATAGCAATTATCCCTGTAGTTTATCCAGATTCCCGATGGTTAATTCTGACGCGATCGCCGAAGGACGAGGGCGACGCCATGTTTGTTTACACTCTCCTACCCAGAGTTCCATGTGTTATGCTGCGTCACTACTGCGCCGGAGTGTGCACTGGGCCAGAGTGTAGTTTATTAATAAACAGAGAAAGTAGTCCCTACTTGACCTTTGATATTTGCATCTCTATCTGCATATGACTCCAACGGATATCGTTTTTATCCGTTGGCTTTATACTGCTGAGAAACTTACCCATTATATTATAAAAGTTGTTAACTGGCAAACAAATACCCTTATTGATACGTATCAAATGTCAAGTCATCCCTCTTGACAAAGAGTCTTCTGGATAATCTTTATGCATGGATTTAAAATCAAAATGATAAGTCGTTCTCGATGGTCTCTTATATTTCTATTTAAATAAATGATTGGAAAAGAATGGACTATTTCACTATTATTGAATAATATCAGATCTTCGATATACCTTGTTATAAGGAAGTGCAATTTATTGTTAAACAGAGTTGAAACTGTATTACATTGTTGTGATTTCGTAGAAGCTCGTAGCATTATGTTTTGATGCTTCTTAATTGTCAGAAATGTAGAATACCCATGAAGATCCGGGGTAGAACAGTTCTTCAGCAACCCATGCTTGCTGTAAAAAGCGACTTTGCTTGTCGTAAAGAGGCAAGTAACGGGATCGGGTGGTCAGGCTCGCTGACTTGGTTGATGCGTGCCAAATTCTTTGGTTAAGTCATTATTGCAGTGATGCTTAAAATATATGGTTATGCTATCTAAGGTGTTTGGTTCAAATAAGATATGATATACCTGCAATTCTAAAATGAAATGTTTGTACAAAATGTGAAATACCATTACGTATGTAACAATACACGTACACTAGCACAGTACCTTAAATTCGTAAGTGTAACATTATCAGTGTTGCCGGTGCATCGAAGTTCAATTTTATAACACATTCAATCTCCATAGACGTCCCATTTTTGAAAATGTATATTCCACAATAACTATCACAACAGCTTACCAATAGCTAGACGTCTGTTTGGAGATTGTTGTACTTTCCCTCTTCTATGGAAGTAAAGAAAACATGCCTCAGTCTTTGTTAAGTTAAAGAGATAACAGATATATTTGAGCATAACACTATCATTAATACAGTTTTAAAACACGGGCTAGAGGCCACCAGTAACCAACACTAGACCATCTCGCTGGGGATCATGGGGACTTACAGTGCCTCTGCTTCCTGCATGATACCCAGCAGTATTTAAGTTCTCACTTTAGCCACAGGGGGTTGAGCACAATGCCAGCCAATATTAAGAAAAACCCCGGAATTGAGTTGGCTTAAAAAAACTGGTTGATGATAGTTAAATCGATTATGATTATATTTCGTGTCACACAGGGGGAGAATAATTTTATGATACTTTAACCCCCTGGACAGAGCCTTCAATAATGTCAGTTGATAATAACATCACACCAAATTTAAAAACAAGCATCTAATTATTTGCATTCATATTTAAAATCTATTTTACAGACCAATTTGGATTAGTTTCTGACCTTTTTAGATGGGTTTGAGTGAGGTATACTACAGGCTTCGCCATCTGCCAGGGAAAAGGATAAGGTGATATGTTATCAAGATTAATTTTAGCTGCAGTGATGTGTGGTTGAATTCTGTTTCCAAGTGGTGGAATCAAGTTTGCACAAATGTTTAAACAGGTTTTCATATTGAGGGTGGAAAACACAATCACATGCTGGATTTGATTTACTTGAGTACAGTTTAGTAACGTAAAGCAGTGAAAGTTTGATGCGGCGCTGTTCGAGTATAGGTGCATCAGCTCCCACATACAAACTGTCCACGTGAGAAGTCCTAAAAGCTTGAAGACAGAGCCTAAGCCTTGATGGCTTTATAGTGTCCAATTTTTCTAAATTGCTTTTGAAGGCTCCACCATAGACAATGAAACCATAGTGTAGTTTTAGCTTATTAACGATCTGTAATGTGAAACAACTATTAACAAGTAGAGATCCTTCAGGCACTTTGCCTTAATATATATTTGATGTGTGGTAACAATGTCAGATGACGGTCAAATATGAGGCTTAGGAATTTGGCCCCTTCTACTACTTTGATAGGAGTACCATCTAAATATAAATCTGGATCCCTGTGAGGTATTAGTTACGACAATAGTGGATACAGTTTGTTTTAGATTTAAAAAACAAATTTGAAGCCGTTTTCGTTCGCAAATTTTTGAATTTTGTTAAGACAGAGCTGTAGCTTCTTTCTATTGTATTCTTACCACGACAAGAAATGTTGAAATCATCCAGTAAAAGTGAACCATCAACGCTATTGTTTAATACTTTAGACTATTGATTTCGAGGCTGAAAAGTGTGACTAATAATATATTGCCTTGAGGGAAATGATCTGACAGGGTAGAGCCCACTCGTACTTGAAATTATCTGTTGTTTAATAATTGAGATATGAACTGAGGTAATCTGCCCTGCAACTCTGTTAAAATACAATATTTCCACGTTACATATCACATGCCTTCTCTAGATCTAAAAATATTGATGCAGTGTGCGTTTGTAGACAATGGAATTTTAAATAAATGATTCTAAACGCACCAAATGGTCCATGCTTTTTCTGTTTTTTCGGAAACGACACTGGATGTCACTGAATAGGTTATCGGTCTCAAGTACCAGACTAATCAATTGTTAACAAT